GATGTTACGGAGGGGACGAATCCGTAGAAATTACCGAATGTAATCAGTGCACATTTTGTGGAACTGGCTGTTACACTGCGGTTTCAGTGAAGATGTTCATCAAAGCACGGAATTGATCAAAACACGGAATCTCGAATTTATTTGTAGAGAGAGGTTCAGCTCGAAAAACTTCCGAATTCATCAAAACAGTTGTGGCTGATGTCTGCAAAAACTACGCAGTGGTACTGTGTGCGAGTGAAATGAGAATAAGCTTCTCGTGCAAGTCGCAAATAACCGCTCCCAGCCTGGATAATTACAGCATTTTCTCGATGGTCATTTCTCTGAAATGCTCTCTCACTATTTTTTGATATTTTTAAATACCCGTAGAGGATGATTTTTGAAAAATAGTTCAGCAAAAAGTTCAAACTGAAAACGGATTATGAACGTTCTTGAAGTTCAACGAAACAAATATTCTCGTTTTCTATTATGATATTTCGTTCAACAGGCGTAAAGCGAAATTTCAGCTTCACTTCAATGAGTAGTTCCTGAATTGCTTCTTTCGCAAAGAAAACGAATAATGTTTATCACAATTAGATGTTCACAAAAACGAAATCAATAGAAACAAGATTCCATTCAATTTCATTCACAAACAGTTCCACATTACCCTTGGTACAATCGCATCTCGGTACAAACACAATATGAACACGCAATAGTTGTTATCGAGAATAAGCAATTAAAATGTTGAATGTTAACAAGAAACCCGTTTTCTCATAATGAAACTTCATGGAACATAAGAGTAATCAATTTAAACAATCGTCTGAATAGCATTTATGGACACATCCGCGCTACTGCATTTCCGGAACGCAACATCTGCCTCTTTGCCTATTTCCTTCGACTTTATCATTTTCTGCTGAAAATCGTGAACGTTAATCAATCGATGATTTCGATAATCTTTCCTTTTAGTTTGTGAAACAAAGGAATAGAAAATCAATTGATCGTTCCAAAAAAAAATTACACTGAAGTTTTGCCACGTCGAATATCGTTTGTGAATATTTGTTAAAGTACACAAGAACACTGGAACAACGATCAACGCATGTATTATGCCGAGTGACATGACAAGCGTAATAGTCTTTATGAATACCTGAATGAAGATCAAGGTCATTTCAGTTTCACCTAGTGTCAACCTGACTGCTGAATCTTTATCAGCTCGAGGCAGCGTGAACACTTTAAATGATTGTAATCGAATTTTCAAATTGATCAACAATCAAGGCCGACTGTATTTTGATGAATATTGGCTAAAGGTTAGCTTAACTTTCAATTGCATATGGATCAGGGATACGGATGTTTCATTATAAATTCTCATTATAAATTCAGTATCTCCTACACAACCTACACTTGATTCTAAGGTTTTAATAATATTTTTAATTTAAACTAGTCTGTCTAATTTTAGTTGATCAATTAAACAACAGTCGGAATGTGTAAATCATTGGTATAATCTGATCCACAGCTAACAAGCTGTACCCGGAATCAGTAATAACATATGCAGTAATGGGTATGTGTATGAAAACTAACCGCACTCATGTAACACGGTATGAATGCCAGACACAGTACGAACAAAACTGTCGATCCACTACACTGCAATAATGGGAATCCAATAGCGATAAGGCACTGCTTGATACGTTCCTTTGAAGTTGACAGACTGCTATCGTAACCGCTTCGATGATAATGATAGGTGATATGAGCTGGGAAGTCAACCGATAAACCGATTGACATGATGAGTGCAGCCATCGAAAAACTGTCCACATCGACACCCCAGTGCGTTACGAAACCGAATACACCTCAAAATTATGAGATTGTAAAAAATGGGCCGTCGATTCTCGCTGTATGTTGATCGCCCTCGATTGGCTAAGCGATAATTTTCGCGATGTTTTTAGAAAATAGCTATTTGGTTCACTTCACGGGTCTGCATTTCGAAAATTTCTGATACGACACAAGACCAGAAGGCTAATCTCTGTCTTCACTACCCAGATGATATTTACGACTTCTCGAAGCAATTCTCGTTTCGTTTGGGTATTTCACGATAGCGAAGAAGTTTCATTTGCTCATTTGCTCGATTATATTACCTCACTTGATCAATGTTTAGCTATTCGCTTGCATTAGTAATTAGTCCTAATTACTGACTTGTGCAGACAATTTTCTGATCAACACATATTATGCTGCTCATCCAGCGTAAATCGACCATCGATGACTGAGCACGCTCTGAGAATTCTCTGCTTAGTTCACACTATTGTTTTTTTTTACCACGGGCGATTTTTTGGTTGAATTCTATTTACTTTGCATTCTGCGTGTTGACACTAAAAATCGCTGGCCGAACAATTTTTGGTACGTACGTATTTCGTTATTGTTTCCAGCCATGTGCTTATTGAATGTNATATGGAACGCTACGATTAAATAACATGAACTGAAAGGTTGACGGCAGTTCGAGAACAGTTGTGAATTCTCAAAATGGAGAAAATTTTTCTCCGTTTGTTTGCTGAGCAAAATAATGCTTCAAGCAATCAACGAATTGGAATTGCCCATGCAGTAGCATTACTTACATTATCATAATGTGCATTAAAATATGCAAGTGATCAATTAACTACTAACCAATGAATATCGATGTAATTGCACCAACAGCAACAAACAGAGTGAAGAAATTCGGCATAAAAACGAAGCAAACAATAGCCATACATAAGAACGTGACAAGTGACGTTTGAATGGTGATTGGTAAGAAATGATCAATTTGTTCTGAATACAACGCTTCATCTTCATAAACGGTCGCTTCCAAGTCCTGAATTGATTCGACTTTGAGACTTTATTAAGATGGAATTTATTTTTGAATGTAATTGCTGATGTTGGATCGTTCAATTCTCCGATTTTTATCCAATAGCTCACAGTCAGTTAAAATGAGCAGTAATAGAGCTTAAGGTTTGGTTTAAGAAATCGTTTTCATCAGATTAAAAGCATCGAAAAACGCTCACTTGGTATCGATCGACAATACTGCGCCACCTTTTGAGAATATTCAATCGTTCAGTCCAATCAGCCAAATGTTCACCGTGATACGCGACCGTAATCAAGAACGATTTCATTCTAAATTAACGGATATGCTAAATAAATCATTTGGATCATTCAACTCAGATCCATACAGAAAGTTATTCGTTTCCGAAGTGAAGTGCTTAAGTTGCAATACCTTGAAGTTGTTTCGTCGAATCGCATGAATCCTTGCCAATACTTATATTCGGGCCATTCTATAAATTGGCGTATACTTTCAGTGGAGAATGCTGACGAATCTGCGTCTGAATCGTTTGTGTCTTCGTCAAACTCCTCACTTGTAAACTTCAAATAATTCTCATAATCTCGAATCCAGAAATGACTGAATTGTGCTCCGTTACAATCGGGTAATTGCTCGAACTCATTGACCATCTGTTTGATTCGTGCTATTCGAGTTTTGTTGAACAAATCGCCAGCTCTATTCACGTATATAGTCACACATGTGTAACTTGGCAGGACATACTTTTGCCGTGCATGATTCACCTTAACGAGCGCATCTTGGATTATAAAAGGAAATTCTTGTTCTGTTAGAGCAATTAGATACAATCAACTCTCACTTCGGTACATAGCGAGAAACTGAAATTTGTCAAAATCGCAATTCGGTCGGATATCATCTTTGGTTTGTGCTGTGACAGGTCAATCTATCTGAAGACGTTTCGTCTAACGACATTTTGCCTAATGCGCGTGCAAGATTGTTAGAGCCATCCGTTCAGAAGATCATCTCGTAGTCTATTGTCAGAACAGCTGTATATGTGGACATTNAGAGCAAACCACGCGCTTAGTTCATCTTTATCACCGCTAATTGACACTTTGCTTCAGCAGTCTCCCTCAAGGAATTATATGTTTGGATTCATTAAAAACACATTTCCCATAGAAATAACAGATGTTGTTTATTATTAATTATGCACGTCAGATTACATGAAACTAAGTAAAATGCTGATGGCAATAACAATAACAACGTATGGTAACCAATAACACCTATAGTGACCAATAAATATTTTTGTTATTATCAATTACTTTTTATCATTAAATTGTAATAATGATTAATAATAGTTAATGTTATTATCAATATCATCAGTTATTCAATACCAGTAAAATAATTGGTAATAACAATAACAGTGTTAATAACTAAGTTGTCCTTGTCATCACTGTCGTTATTACCGTCATTATTGTTATTATTTTTCTTCTTATTACTGTTGTTATTAACATTTTTATTGTTATTATCAATTATTTTATTGTTGTTGTTATTGTTGGTTATTATTGGTGTTATTGGTTATCATACGTTGCATGAACTTCAATGTTATTGCTACCATGGGCGTTGTTAGCATCCGCACTTTGCTTAACTTCATGTACTATGGCGTGGGTAATTAATAATAAACAACATCTCTTATGTTTATGGGAAACGTGTTTTTAATAAATCCAAATATAGTTCC